TTTAATTTATTCATTTGTTCTACACCATTTTAATTTGTTTCCTATTTTTCTGGTGTCAGTTTTGCTAATTATATTTTCCAAAAATTTTACTCAGAATTTCAAAGCTTTAGAGATAAAGTTATTTATAATATCCTACTATAATATTTTCAATATCTGGTTAACAGAATCTTTTTCATTTCTGATAATATTTCTGTCTTTTCTCCTTTTTTTATTTCTAAGTTTACCAAATATTAATCAACTTTATCAGTAACTTCAAGGAACCAACCAACATTTGGTTTTGAATTTCTTCAAGGGCATTATTACTTTCCATTTTTAAAATGTATTATGATTTTTAACTTAGTATTTATTCTTCCTTTGCTCTTCTTTTGGTGTTCTTTCTATAACTGAGTGAGAAGATATTTCGTTTATTATTATTTTTTTCTTTTTTAATGATAGAGGGTATATTCATGCATGAGACAGAGAGAAAAAAAAACAAGCACTCCCTAACAGGATCTGGTCTCCGTAATTCCTTTTCCTCCAATTCTCTGTGCCCTCAGGATTCTGGTCGTATGTGTGTTTTCAAGCTACTGGGTCTAGGACTTGAACTCTGGTCAGTCATGTGAGATCCAGGTTTTAGTTCCTGTTTATGCCCTTGTGTCCTCCATTTTATTCTCTTCTCTGACCTTAATTATCTTCAGTATCTTAATTGTCTATTCTGAAAGCATCTTTAGGTGTTGTCTCCATTTAGGATTTGATTTTGTGCGGTTGATTATTCTCTTCACTTCTGTGGAGGTTTTAGTTCTACGATGACATTTTTGGTTTTCCTTATTTTACTCTACTTCGGCTTGTTTTCACTTGATCTGGCCTCTGCTCATGGATTTCTGTTTGTGTTTCACAGAGTCCATATTTTTAGTCCTGAGGATGTCACCAACCAAGTTTCTACAAGTTTCTGCTAGCTACTGTACCAAACGTTGTTGAGGCATTCTTTCCCTGATTGTGCAAGACATTTCCTTCCCTGTGTGTAGTGATTTTTTTTAGTGGCTCCTTGTGGCCATAATGTTATTCTTCTTGCTTTTATTGAGGAAAGATACCATTTGATCCAGCAATCCCACTCCTTGGTATCTACCCAAAGGACAGAAGAATTCTTCTTCGGAAAAGTGCTTGCACATCAATGTTTATTGCGGTACTATTCATGATTGCTAAGACATGGAACCAACCCAAATGCCCCTGTACAGATGAATGGATTGAAAAACTGTGGCACATATACTCCATGGAATACTATTCAGCCATAAAAAACAACAAAACCCTGGCTTTTGACACAAAGTGGAAGAATATGGAAGATTTACTGCTGAGTGAAGCAAGCCAGGCTATGAAGGAGAGACATCGTATGTCCCCACTTAGTATATACTGAGTGTCTGCACTCTGTGACTGAAAATGTTTGACTAAAGGATGTACAAACACAAGAGATGGGTGTGAATGCCAGATGTGTGGGGTGTGTGGAGGAGCGGTGCCTGTGGAAGGACGTTTGGAGGAGGGATACAGAGGCAGAGCACTGACGAGATGGGGAGGTGTGGTGTTATCAGTTGAAGATATTTTGATCAACTGGACTAGGGAGAAATGTTCACATATACAAATGTTCACTTTGTAAGCTAAATAATGTGATTGAATGTATAAAAAAATAAATAAAAGTAAAATAATAAAAAAAAATATTCCCAAACACAAAAAATAGAAAATAAATTAAAATAAACACAGAGTTTGTCAATTATGCTTGTCCACTTTCTGGCCTCTTGATCACCGTTTGAATCCCCTCGTGAGTATAATATGCAAAGATGCTGGACATTCATTCTCTCCTGCAGCGAGACACCACAGTGCTGGATTGAGGCAGGTTTGTCATTTCCTACCTGGATGAAGTAAATGCAGACCTCACTGCAGTTCAGACCGTGAAGAGGGCTCCTTCCTCCTCCTCCCTGAGGACACTTGGTTGCTATTCTCAGCCATGTCTGCTCCATTTCCAACCCTGGCTGCTTCATGCCAACATTACTGTGGTGTTTCGGACCCAGAATTAATCAGGAAGGTAGAAGTCAGAAAAGTGGAAGGGCAGGGGCGCAGCGGTAGTCGTGTGAAACATGAAGAGAACAGAGGGGGTCAGGGCTTTGCTGTTTGGGTTGTTGCAGAACATCGGGGTCTTGAACCAATGAGCGGGGGAGAAGGAAAAAAGGTATCCTCACCTTCTTTTCATATCAGAAATCCTAGAGCCACTAAGTTTGTCCATTTCTCACCCAGTGTTATCAGCTTTATTCACTGAAATCAACCCTCGGTTCTAGAAACAGGCAGTTAATTCCAGCTCTGCCCAAAGTGAGTTTGTACATTTTGCTTTGACTTCATAGCTCTGAGTTCAAATTTGAAATGTCTGTTCAGAAACTACTAGGTGGTAATGGTGGGATTAATGTTTGCCCCTGGGTAGAGGCAGAATGATACTGACAGCATGGTGTGAAAATTAGAGGCACACAGCTGCTCCATGCCATGCCAGTTACGTACGTCTGCTGGCTTCGAGATCAATTCGCCTCCTTCCAGAATTCCACCTGAAAGATTTGGTTTATGCACATAATGTTCTCCGCATTGTGCTTGAAATGTGTGTGATCTTGCATCATTAATCAACATTTCTTCCTGAGAAAATTTGTCTTTTGTGACATAAACAGACTGAGAAGAAAAAGCAGAGTCGGGTCAGGATTACTCGATACTGACATGAGCCCAGGAGGCCAAGTGACACCCACCAAGATAAATGGTCATTGCTTCTGGAGCCTCAAAGAAGCAGATTCATACGCGCTAATTCTCCCTGACAAACCGTGTTACTGAGTTCTTGATAATGTCTCCACTCATCTGCAAATAGCCTCTGTGCGTGTGTGCACTGCACACTCTGTCCTTACAACACATCGCTGTCTTTTAACTCACCGATGCGTCTTCAAAACACAGACCAAACAAAGCTGGAAATCACCTGGCCTTGGTTTGCAGTAGTCAAATTTGGTGTACAATTTTAAACAGCATAATCAAAATTTTGGTTAGCAACTCTTTTTCTATCATTCACTGTTTTTAAAAGGAAGATGAGAAGAGACTGTGAGAAGGCAGTGATCCTGACATGAAGCATTTCTTTCAAAGGAAGAACAGATGTTTGAATATTGGTGCTTTTCTGATGGGTGCAGGAAAAAGAGGACAGAGAATTCCTGGGGGAAATGTTCTGGGCCTTTGTCAGTGAAACTTGTATGTCATCCTTTATAAACATAGTGCTTCAGCTAGAATGTAATGTAACCAAGTATTGTAACCTGGTGAAAATAACAACAATTTGGAAAAGGATTTCACATGGCCCAGGACTCTAGCTTCTTCCTGAGGGCCTTTGAACGACCGTTGCTTTGCTTGCTCAGGGCACTCATGACCGAGAGAGAAACTGCTGATAATAAGGACTCCTTGAAAGGGTCATCTCTGCCATGCTGCTCTCCACACCTGCTGTACTGCCCTTCTGTTTGGGTTCTCACTCCGTCTTGGTGGTAGAGAGGCTGGTCAGTAATGGGTCCCTGCACAGGTGGCAAAGACATGAGAACAGGTGCCAGGCTGGTGCCATGTGACCAGGGAGAGCAGAGCTGCTGAGGTCCAGAGTCCCAGGGTGCTCAGTTCAGTTTGCTGAATGGTGATCCAGAATAAAATGGAACAGTCCAGGCTCGGTATATGGCCCAGGTCAGCACATTTGAGACAGTGAGAGTGGGGCTCCCTCCAGGCCCTAAGACTTGGGGCGCCCTTCAATCACCCTAGGAAATGAGGGGGAAGCAGGGACCTCCATACGCCTCAGAAGCCATGAGGTAGGAGGGGCCAGATCGAGGGGCTAGGAATGCCTGGAACAGTTCTTCCTCACCAAGCCTCTGCTTTTAATGAGCAGCAGCAAGGAGGGAGAAGAAGGCAACTCTGGTGCCTGCAGCCAGGGTGTGATGGGGTGGTGGCAGGAGTCAGGATTGGGAAAGGCTGTTCCCGTGGAGCTGTACCAGTGGATGCCAGTGTACCCAGTAGGTGGCTCTACCACTAGGATCAGCAGCAGCTTTGGACGAGAAGTAAGAAGACTGGACAGAAACTGATGAGGGACTTGTCCTGGAGCCAAGCACCCAGGAAGTCTCGGGAACAATTTGAAGGGGGCTACAAACTAGCAAGACAGGATTATCTGATTTTAAAGACAGATAAAGCCCAAAACAGGGTTGCCCTGGTTACCTATTATAGATAAAAATCCCAGGTACTTAAAAACATTAATCTTTTCTCCATTCCTTATATTTATTTTTCCTTAAAATTTTGAATCCTACTACCTACAAGGTACTCAATATAATTGTTTATATTGTAATTTAAAAATCAGGGATGCTGGGGCCAGCAGGTGGCATAGTGGTTAAGGTGCTGGAGTCCTATGTGGTTGACTGCAGTTCAAGTCTCAGACCTGGTGACTTGAAATTCAAGCCAGGTGTGTGTGAGTGTGCACCCCAAATCCTGAGAGAATAGTTGAAAAGAAGGGATCCAGCATGGCCATTTCCTGGAGTCGGGGAGGAGTTGTGATTTTTTGCTTTCTATCTCTCTGTCTTTCTGGTGAGTGCACATGCCCTATAGCAAAAATTTCTCTTTCAAAAGAAAAAAAAAATCAGGATGCCATTTACAAAGGACTTGGAAGCCAGCAGAGCGAGTACATACAAAGACGTGTTCTGGGCTTCTGGGGCATGTGGTAACGTTAATGCTCGTGTTGTTACTATGAAGCACGTTAAGCTCGTGCAAACCCCGTGCAATTTAGCTTATTTATGTGGCTAGACCACAGTGCAGAGTCGATGACGGGATGTATTTTTAGAGATTTGGGTTGTCTGGCATTCAAAGTCAATTTATAAAAATTTCTGCAAAACCTGGGGACCGCCTCAGTCTGTTGTGTTTTATTGCTTAATTAGCGAGTTGTCAAAAAGCGGCACCATCTAAACTGAGTGATGCTTTTTCACCTGCTCACTTACTTTTTATGGGGATAATGAGCTGTGGGATGACAGGTAGGATCTTGTTACCCCCGTGTTCCAGCATGTCGTGGATTCCTTGCCGAGCAAAGAACTCATAGGGAAATGTCATCTCACAAAGCCCATCGAAAAACAGAGGCAGGTAATGATGGTAATCCAGCTTCTCGATTTCTACCTGGAAGGAGAGAGAGGAGGAAGGCTGGTGAGAACAACAACCTGGGCCATGTGCAGCCAGATTGGCAAGGAAGCTGTCACCAACGCCGGAGGACAAGTTCCTTAGAGTTTCATCTTGTTAACCCACTCACCCACTCAGCACGTCTTTACCCTATTAGCCATGAGGTTATAATTATTACCTTTAAATCTAGCAGCCATATCTCTCAGTCACATATAACCAACACTAGGAGCATATTAATTAATAACTTGCTTCTCTTTTTTTTTTTTTTTGGTTATTTTTTACTTAGGCATAAATGCAAAAGAGTCCGCAGTGTAAATGAAGAGAAAAACAATAGCTTAAAGAGACTGCAGAGAAGTTCTAACGGAAAACGTAATAGCAAATGCACATGGATGGATCCTCCTGAAGCCCATCTACTCCAGTATCCAGCAACCTTGAGTATGAGGGTCTAACTCAGTTCCCTGGGTGTCTCCTGCAGCCTCCATGACAGGGGTAATGTTGGTGCCACCAAGAAAGAATGGAGAAGAAAACTAGGGGGCTGAATCTGAACAGACCCCTGGCACCTCAGAACCACAATGGTTCCAACCTCCCCTAACCGTCTCCTGTGGAAGAAGAGACACAGCGCTTCCCCGTCTTCACCCATCACCCTTAGTGATACTCGGAGACCTCCTGGCCAGATCTGTCCAGCTCCACCAAGGAATGGACGCTGAGACGAGAGATGGTGCATCGACAATGCTCGACATGTAGGAGCTTTGTTCTTCCCATGTCCTTCACTGTCTAGAGGGCCTGATCTGCCACCAGCAAGGTGACAGAGAGGTCACTGAGACTGAAGATGGCAAGAAGTCTACAGATTCCACTGGAGGTGTAATTCACCTGCACAAAAGCAATGTGCTGCTCCCAGGGAGACACGCCAATTTCCCTGTTTTCAGTCCTCCTTATGCATGCTCCCGTCCTCAATGATCACTTTTTAATTCAGCGAGGAGCTCATTGAGAGCCCTCAGAAACTTCCTTCTATGTGAGTAGATTCTCAGTGCCTCCAGCTCCCTCCCTGTTCTGGAGTCTCCAGTCACTTGCGTACTGTACTGTCCCTGGGCGAGAGAAACAGGGATCAAACCCTCACGTTCCCGAGTGTTCGCAGTTATTCTGAGTGGATGCAGTGTTCCCCGGTCCGCCAAGCGGGAGGCCAGTTTGCTCACGAGCTTCCCGTTTACATCACATGTTCAGGCAGGCACTAGAGATGAAGAGGGAAGCCAGCTGAGGAAGCAGGTGCGAGTCCACATTCAGACTCTTGGGACTGGAGTTTAGGAAAAGAATCTCAAATGCAGGTTTCCAATGACATTGTTATTACTTTACATTCCTGTGTGTTCACAGAATTTACGTTACTCAGTAGAAGTTTATGGAGTTGCTGATAAGACAGCCTGCTTGAATGCTCGCATGTAACTATCTCACAGCTGTCTCAGTATTTCCTAATTTACATTTATTATAAGAAGGGCAGGTTGAAAATCCCCTATTACGTCTCAGCCATGGTGGTGCAGGTGATAGGGCATCAGTCTGTGCCACTGGAGACATGGGGGGCCCAGGTTCAGATCCCAGGCTGATCCGAACATGCTGGGTGCCCACGTGTCCCCCATAACCTCGGGAGACTGGGGAGGATGACAGTATGGTAAGCTTTTTTATACTGATATGTTTACTAACAGGAGTGACTGTGTTTTAATAACATATCTGACTTCTCTTTAATATATTTGTTTTTTTTTTTCCCTTGAACATTCCTTTCAGCCACTGCTCAATTTTCACTGTAAAATCTTTCTGAAGAATTCTTTGTAGTCACTGTCCATATTTTCTTACTCCCATTCTCTCTTCAGCTCACTTCTTCACCACTTTGCTGATGTTGCTTTAATTAAAGTCACTAATGCCCTTGTTTCTATCCAGCCCGTTATCTCTTTTCTGTTCTCATCACACAGTAGGCCTTGTGAAGCCGTCCGTCATCCTGGGCCACCTGGCACCATAGCCCCAACACGAGATGACCCTAATTCCCTCCCTTCAAGTCTCATGTTTAACCCATCAGCAATATGATTGATTCTGTCTCCAAACAAATTTTTATTCCATCCACTTTCCACCATTTTTTTCCTCATGATTATCTTAGTTAAGCACCAACTTGCCTTACCTGGAACTGTAAGAGTGTCCTAACTGACCTTAGGGATCCTTTCTGGATTGTAAACAGTGGTCTTCTCACCGTGGCCTCACAAGGCCTTTCCTCTGTGTGTGCAGAGAGCTCAGGTGTCTCCTCTTTTTGTAAGGACACTGTCCAATTGGATTAGGGTTCCATCGTCATGGTCTCGCTTAACCTTTATTACCTCCTCCATCTCCAAATGCAGTCACACAAGGGGCTTGTGCTTCTTCAATGTAATGAATTTTGGGAGCCACTACTAGGTCCACAGCTCACTCTTCTCTTTCCAGACTTCTCTGTCACTGGACAGTCCTTCACTTAGATAGTTCAGTGAGGTCCTCCTATCACTGCCTACCACCTTATTGGATTTTCCTGGAGCCCTCATCATTTACTCACTAGAGTCACCTCAGCTCTGCTGCTGGGAGATTGTCATTGCCAGCGAGAGGGTTGAGCTCCTAACAGGGGAGTACTCAGTGAGCATGTGTTGAATGTTAATTCTGATCTCTGACTCTGTGCTCCGTAGTAGCTTCTCTGAGAGGCCTCTCAGCTAAGGTGCAGTGACAGATGACAAATGACAACATCTAGAGCTGAGGTGAGGAACATGGTAGAGCACACAGGGGGTCCAATGTTTAACACTGACCCTCCCTGTTGCATGAAAAAATACATAAGTTTCTATCAATTTACTTATTCTACAAATAAAATGCTATTTTTTTCTCTCATTAGAATAGCAGTTACTATTTACATTTCAGAAATTTCATGATCCTTTTAATAGATACTCGATATAGGCTTCTTGGTGCTTGCATTTACCCTAATTTCACTAGGACTCATTTAGGACTTGGCTATTTGTGAATCTTATATTATCCAAAGAAGTTTCTGTTTTTCATTATGTCATCATAGTTACATCAAATGCAAACAGTTTTTAAGAAGGATTATTTATTTATTATCTTTTTTTTTTTCAATTTTTGACCAGAGAGAGACCAAGAGTCAGAGAGCATGCTGCCAGGTTCTGTACTTGAACAACAGTTGGCCATGTGGGAGTCCAGAGCCTTTAACCACCACACCACCTGCTGGTCCCTAAATACAAGCATATTAAAACATGTCTATATGAATGATAATAACAAGAGGTCTTTACTGTAAAAACAATTTGGATGTTAAGAACAATGTAAGATGGGAACCAGCAGTTAGCATAATGGCTATGTCGCTGGACTCCCATGTAGTTGACCACGGTTCGTGTCCCGGACCCGGTGACTTAAAACTCACGCCAGGTGCGTGTGCGTGCGTGCCCAAGATCCTGAGAGGAGAATGGAGGAGAAGGGATTGCGGTGTGACCATCACCCCTGGGGGGTGATTTCTCGCTTTCTGTCTCTATGTCTCTCTCTGTCTGTCTGGCGAGCGCATGCGCCCTACAGTGAAAATCTCTCAAAAAAAAAAAAAAAAAAGAACAATGTAAGAGTAAAACCAGATTTTAAACAACAGATAAATCAGGAGTCCTTACTTGTCTTTGTGAATGTATGTCACACTGATTACCATCCCTTAGAGTTCTTCTAAACTGATAGCTTAGTTTGTTTATTTAGACTTTAAAAAGTCATTTATAAGATTTATTTAGCAATAAACTTTTTCTTGCAGTTATATATATTTTCCCTCCTAAGATAACTAGTTTAATGATAATTTTATATTTCTTCGTATTACCACAAGCACAGTAGTTTTCAAATTTAACAGTTTTTCTTTAAAACTGATGAAATCCAGAATTAAAAGGAGACTGAGGGACAGTGAGTGAGTGATATGGTGGTTAAGGTGGCTGGATCCCCATGGTTGACTGTGGTTTGAGCCTCAGACCCAGTGGCTTGAAAATCACACTGAATGTGTGCATGTGTGTACGTAAAATCCCAAGAGGAGAACGGGGGGGGGAGGGGTTGTGGCCATACCCCTTGGGAAGGGTGACTTCTCACTTCTCCTCTCATTGTCTGTCTTTTTTTCTCCAGTGAGCACATGCACCCTATGGCAAAATTAAAAAAAAAAAAAAGTGGGACATAGAACAAAGACTGATGGCTAAAATCACTTGGTAATATCCTGATCAACAACTGCTTTGGTACTAACTTCAGAAACATGAAGTATTTTTACTCAGAATCTTTTCTTTTAATTTATGTGTTATAACATTTTAATGATCACATGGTACCTAAAAGTTGATCTCTAAATCTTACAGTGACCTTTGTTCAAAAGCAATAAAATTCTAACTAGACTTGGCCTATCAAATTTAACATCTCACCCCCATAATAAATGTGCAAGGTAGTAATACTGTACTGAAAGGTCAGGAACACAATGAGGTTAATGACTTTCATTAAAAAAACTCAGATCAGAGACTTTACTATCACATTTTCCATATTCTTGCTTCAATTAGCATAGCAAATAAAATATCCTTGAAAATATGTTATCATGACTCCTAGAATTCTCAAGGAGCTTGCATAAAATCACAAAATAATCTGAAAAACTGTAATTAACTTCTAATAGAGTATGGCCTCACTGGACTTTTGTGACATTTCTAAAATAAAGTTTTAACCATGTTTTTCTACCCCTGAGATGGCTGTTCAGTTACAGTAAAAAGTCTTACAAGTTATACAGGTGTTAAACACTGTCTGCATACTGTAATATTTTGCACATACAGATGTACTATTTTTCAAATGTCTGTGGATGTGGATGTGCTGAATAACTGAAAATAATTTAAGTCATCTTATGTTTTTCAATGATATTGAATATACAACTGAAATTGTATAATCATACATGGGATTTTTGATGCTAAAAATGAGACTTTGAATATAAAAATGCTCTTAAGTGTAAA